GGGCCTCCGAGGAGGCCCAAAAGGGGAAAAACGGGCGAAGGGTAGAGGTATGGGGACCTCTTCCTCCTCCGAGGAGCGCTCTGGACCAGAATTATCCTCGTCCTAGCCCCGCCCGGTCCCCTCCCGCTCTTCCTAGCCTTCCAGTCGGTCTCCGCGGGTGGTGGGCGGTCGTGGGCGGGTCGCCTCCCCCGTCGGTGGCCAAGCCTAGAGCTATGTTGCTCCCGTCGTACCTCCTCCTCCTCCTCCTCCTCCTCCTCCTCCTCCTCCTCCTCCTCCTCCTCCTCCTCCTCCCAAAAATTAATAATTTCAGCATCCGGAAAAGTGTCGAAAGTGTCGAAAGAATGTCGGGCGAGTGTCTCCCAGGGCCCGACACGTGGAAACCCTCGATTTTCGGTACTTGTGTGGTGCTCGAAATTCGTTATGGTTTCAAGGCTAAAACAGGTTGGAGCATCATAAGCCTAGAGATCCGCGCCGCGCGGAGTGCGGCTACCTTCGCGCTCTCGCCCGGCCACACGGAGACGAACAAGTCTCTGGCCCAGGCCACGAAGCGCGAAGTGCAGTCATCGTCGCGCCCCAGCGGGTGACTTCCTGCCCCCACCTCTGGTTCTGCCTCTGCGTTGTCCTCCTCCTCCTCCTCCTCCTCCTCCTCCTCCTCCTCCTCCTCCTCCTCCTCCTCCTCCTGGGCAAGCACGCTTGCTAATCAAGCGCGGCTGCGCGGGCGACCTCGGCTAGAAGTTACTCAGGGCGCTGATGAGCGTGCAAGCAACCAGAGCGGAAGCAGGCGGCGGGCACAGGGGGGTGGGCGAGGGGGGCGGCCTTCTCGCTGAAAAGCGAGCTTCTCAGGAACCGTCCTGCATTCCACGAGGGTTTCGTTTGCCGTTGTTCCCTCTTTTGGGCCCGGCCGGCGTCGTTCTTGTTGTGTTGAGGGTTGCAGTTGTTGAGATTTTCTGGTCGACCGCAACACAAGCAGTTGAAAACAAGCAGGAACACACAGCAAAAGACCAACAACAAAAAAACACCAGAGGGCGTCTCGGGAGCCTTCCTGCCTTCCAAGGGGGCTTCTACACGGGGGCGACATAGCAGGTATCACTCACACGCCACCGTGGGGAACCCGTCAGCGTGCCACGGCCGAAAAAACCCAGGGTCTTCGGGCAGGCACGACGAGGCAGCACGATGACGGGGCCCCCAACGGCAGCGTTTCGCTGATTCTTCGAGTCGGAGATCGACCACAGAATTGATGTACCCCCAAACCGCAGTCATCGTCGAAACTACGAACGCATACTTAGAGTGGCCGTCGATCTACGAACATTCTATATATACATATATATATATATATATATATGTTCCAGGCTCGGGGATACTGCCAGGCCTGGATGTTTTCCTCATCAGTACGCTGATTCGATCTGTGTGCTGCGAGCGCCGAGAGCTTACCTGCACGAGTGCTGTACGCAGCACCCGAAGAGAAACAGACATGACAGCCTGAAAACCCAGGACAGGCTTCTCGCCCTTAAAAGGCGGCTGAGAGGGAGGTTTGGGGAGGCAGAGTGTAAAGCGTTAAAACGGAGTCTGTGGGTGCTCGAAGCCAGAACGATTACGGAGCGAGAAGCGGCCTTCACGTGTCACCCTCCAGAGAACAATAGCATGTGAACAAGCATCAATGTTCCAGGCTCGGGGATACTGCCAGGCCAGGATGTTTTCCTCATCAGTACGCTGATTCGATCTGTGTGCTGCGAGCGCCGAGAGCTCACCTGCACGAGTGCTGTACGCAGCACCCGAAGAGAAACGGGCTGGACAGGATAGACATGACAGCCTGATAACCCGAAGCGCCTTTTTCTTCCAAAGATAAACCCTGGTATTACCGCAGCCCCTTCGTCATGTCCATTGCTTAGAAAGAGTAGACCAGATAGCGGAGGAGAAAGCGTTGACGAGCTGACGACACAACGGTGGCGGGCATGGCTCAGCCTGAAGCGTACGGTGCCGGCCCGACTGATCATGCCCTTGTAGCACGATGTGAGGTCGACCACTAAATTCACATAGTTTGCGGCCAGCACAAAGACGCTGAAGATGTGCAAGGTGGACGTTAGCTGAGACAAAACGGGTACGCTTCCGCCATGGCATTCCATAAACGCAATAATCGATCACGGTGGTTTCGACGTCAGGAAGCCTCAGAAGTTGTTGCCAACACGGGAGGTTCCATAACCGACTGGCGTGTGGGTTTTCGATGGTCACCGGGATGCCGTGGGAACGAGCGAGCCTAAAAAGGCCAGCAGAAAAAGCAGCAAGATGGTTACCTTCCTGAACTCGTGCCAGAACCCGAGGAGAAAGCCCAGGAGCACCTTCAGGATGAAGAGCGGCACGCCACCCTTCACGATTTGCAGCCGAGAACGCAGCGCACGGGGTACCCAGCCAGAGGGCCACGACGAGGCCCGATCGAACCCACCCGCGGACAAGCCGACATAGACGAGAACAATTGAGATCATGGCAGGGTCCTGCACGGATATCAATCGAGAAGGCTGGGATCCCCGACAAGGCTCGACACGACCGCCAGGCCGCACTCCAACGGGCCTGCCCGGCGAACAACTCCAAGGCAAACCGGCCCCCGCGAGGAGCTGCCGCGCGAGGGATGGCTGCAGGATCACTGAGCCAATGCGCTCCGCGCAGAGGTTGGCCGCGAACTGCGTGACCTGGTCGAGTCGGTGCACCTGCTCGTTGAGGCGCCCGGCTTTTACGTAGCGGCGCAGCGAGGCGTCGGAGTCCCAGCGCCCCCTTTTCTTTACACCTAGCAGGTCCCGTTGCCCAGAGTGGATCTCGCGAGAGGCCCCGCCGCGGCGCATCTGGTAGATCGTCGCGGGAAGGAGAGGCCCGAGGGGCAGCTCGGCCACGGCGGCCCTGAAGTGGGCCGTCCACTTGGCGTAGTCCACGTCGGCAATCGGCCCGGCCAAGGGTCCTCGGCCCCGCAGGTGCTCCAGCACAGCGTCGACCCACTTGAAGTCCGGGTTGTCGTTCAAGAGAGACTCGTCGCACGCGTGGGTCTTGCTGGGGATCTCCCCCTCCAGGGGGTTCAAGAGGATCCCCCAGTGTCGAAGCCTCAGGGGGCCTCGCGGGACCGGAGGAATCAGGTCCCTCCGCCGGGCCCTCATGGAGCTCCGACGGCCAGCAGTAGAACACGAAGTTGAGGAGCGTCATCAGGCCGGCGCCCACGCCCCCGCGGGCGACAATCTTGACGATCACGAGCGCTGCCACGACCCATGGCATGGGCAGTCGGGCCCGCTTCGGCGCGAGACGGCCGAACCCCCGCAGGGCAGCCCAGGCCCGAGGCAGCTCTGGAGTCTTCCGAGACAGCCGGTAGGACTCCAGGTGGGCCAGGGCAGCCTGCAAGGCCGACGCGCGGTCGACTACCTCCCCGTTGAAGAAGAGGTCGCGGAAGTACTGCGCGAGCCCGACGTCGAGCTCCCGCACCGTGCCCAGGGCGATCCCCATGGCCAGGCACCAGCTCTTGAACTCGCTCACCATCGCGATGTACCTCATCCGCTGCTGGGGCTTGATTACTCTCTGCTCGAGGAACGACGTCCCGGCGAGCGGCCCCACGGGCGCGGGAGCCGGGTGGGCCCTGCGCCGCGCGGAGCAGCGGTCGGCCCGGCGAGCCCCCTCCAGCGCAGGCCGCTCCAGGTGGCTCCGGGGCGGCGGGCGGGGCCGCGGTGTCGCCGCTGGCCGCTTGCGAGGTGCGGTCCTCGCTGGCCGCGGAGTCGCCGCTGGACGAGGCAGCGTCAGCGGCGCCGAAGCCGGCGGCGAGCACGCGACCGGCGGCACGGACCCGCCGCTCACGGGCATCATGGGCCCCCGCAGGCAACCTGAGCATCACCGGTGAGCCCGCCGTCGGACCCGCCAGCGACACCAGGCCACTCAAGGCCTGGGGGGGGTGGGATAGTCAAAGTAGAAGACGCGGGTATCCTCGAAGAGGTAGCTCGAGCCGACGCAGCAGGCATGGCAAAGCGCTGTCCACGAGACCCGGGATCCCCAGCATTGTGCTCAGACGGCACCCACCTCCAGGTGTGGCATGAGAACGACGCCAGGGCCAGAGAGCCACGCTGCCGACACACCCGCAGCACAAGTCTCGTAGGCGACCGGCCCTTGGTGACAGCGAGGATGGGGGCCATGGAGTCCCCGAGGCGCAGGTGCCTTCGGCCGAAGCTCCGGAGTGCCCAGACCTTCCGCTTCACATCCCAGACCATCGCTCTTCCCTCCAGACACACCTGGGGTTCGGGGCGCCGCCAGGCTCTGGACTCCGCGAGGGCCCAGGGGGCATCCCACAGAGCCACAGGGACCGGGGGCACAGAACCCTAGGGGATCTCAGGAGGGGAGTCCCGACGGTGACCTCCGAGGCGCTGCGCGAGGAGAACCGAATCCCGCGGGTTGAACGACTTCTCCCTGGACTGCGTAAACCTCCACCGCTCGTTGAAAGACCCCAAGGACGCAATGTCAAGATCCGATGCCACATACGAACAGCCTCCAAGACCCCAAGAAGACGCATCCACCACAGTGACTTCTGGATCCCACTCGGCCCCAAGATCACGATAAGCCAACACAATCAAGTGGCTCGCCCAATTCAGCTCGCGAAGGACAGACGGCCAAATTTTTACTGCACGGTTTCCAGCTTGCTCGGCAAACGCGTAATCGGCATTGATTACACAGAGAAGCTCACGGCGCATGAGGCACCTGGTGGTGTAGTGTGAGAGCAGTATTTCCAGAGTGCGCCCAGACGCGAAACGGCGACGACAGAGCTCGATGAAGGCGAGTCGGATTTTCCAGCACATGACCGGATTCACCTCGGCGGTATCTGACGAGAACTGCCAACCCAGCGTCGCGCCGCCTACTGAAGACTCGCACGGATGAACAGGCAGCGGCGCCGACGACAGTTGCTGCGAGACCTTGTCTGCAGCGGCTTGCACAGCAGAAAGAGAGTGACTGAGAGAAACGAAGTTGTCCACATATTCTGTATTGATAAGAGGATGAAGTGGGGGAGCCGGTCTCCCATCGCAAAGAGCACGATGTAAACCGATGCCAGGAACGGGCCTAGAATGCAATTCGAGTATCTCCTGCATTATCCAAAGTGACAGCTTCCATCCCATAGGAATGGCAACAAACGTAGGCGTAACATATGTCGAGGGGCCCACCGGTTGACCACTGATGCTAGCACCCCCCGCGACGCCAGCCCGAATCCGGGGAAGACCGAAGCACCCCCGAAGGGACGACGGAAGAGCCAGATTGTAGAACGCGTTGGCCACATCGACCCCACCAACGCAGATAGGGCCCTCACTGTCGACCTGGATGCTCGCAAACGAGGCGCCACTGGCAAGGTGCACGGAGTCTGAATCAGAAAACCAACAACTCGCCCGTCCCCCATCAATAATGACTCTCAACTTTCCTGACTTCTTAAAAACGGCGAAAATCCCCACAGACTCCCTGCACCCTAGCCTCCATTCAATCAGACCGGCCTCGCTCAAGCGGTTTAAAACAGACGCATACAGGCGGGGAGATCGCCGGAGCGCTGGATCTGTATACGCTCTAGCGGGGGCCTCCTGTTGAAGCCTCTCGGCTGCCAGGGACTCAGGAAGAAGTTCCGAGCAAACTTTACCAGCCAAAATTCCACCCTCCGGACCGCCCAGCAGCTCCAAAGGACGAGGGGAGCTACCCGGGGCAGGGAGATCCAGGAGGCAGGCTGACGCTGGGCTCATCGGCGCAACGGTGGCGGGCTAACCATCGTAGGCGCGCCGGGCGCAAAGCTCCCGCAAGGCTCCCGCGCCGTCGAGTCCATCGGGGGGGGGCCGATCCTGTTCACCGCAAGACGGATTCGCCTAATAGCCTCGTCCTGGGCAGCAGTCGGTGGCAAGGCCCCCCCCCCGAGATGAGGACCCCTGAAAAAGATCATTCAAACTCTGAGCGATGTCCCGCACAAGCCGGTCACTGTGACCCGCTCGCTCGAGACGACGACGAGTGGCCCTGGAAAAAACTGATGAGGTGCCCCCCGCGGGAGGTGAGGAGAGGGAGGAAGAGGTAGAGGCAAGAGATCGCGCGCGCGATCCTCAGGTGTGAAAAGCCCCCCCTGCGCGTAGCGACCCAGGCCGGGGGGGGCTCCTGGGTCGAGGGTGTCTGGCTTCATTGCTTCTTGAGGAGCGCGGCCAGCTCCTCCTTGGCTTTCCTCACCTGTTTCAAGATCGCTGCATCCTTCTGAACCTCGGCTGCGACGTGATCCAGAAGGGATGGACACACCATGGCGGTGCCCGTGTCCTTGTTGAGGCCCGAGAAAATCGCCGACTCATCCATGAAGCCGCTGAAAGAGACCGAGGGCTTGCCAGCATTCTTGTTCTTCTCAGATGTTCCGAGAGAATCCATCCAGTAGACGTACTCCGTGAGCTGAGCCTTTCTCATGATGATCTCAACTCCGGCCAAGTTGGACGGGTCGGCCCCGTCGAAGCACAGCAATTCCTCAAGGGCCGTGAGCGCCGTCCCGTGGGCTTCTATGCCCCACTGGTCAGCCTTCAGGTTGAACGTCGAGGTGAACCAGCGGTGGTGCGAAAGCGGCGTGCTGGAGCGGCGTTCCAACCACTGAGCGCACCAGAGGACGGTCCTCGGACCAGGCACCGTCCAGTTGCTCACCACACACTCGGTCATGTCACGGACCGCCTCAGCATAACCCCTACGAGGACGGGGGTCAGCATGATGAGCCTGTAGCAGGACGCGGGGATCATGTACAACTTCGAGGGCCTTGTAGACCCCTTCATCAAGATCACGGATGTTGCGCACAGCGACGGCACCATGACCAGGAGGAGTGAAGACTGCCAAGTCCCCCGAGATCTGAGCGTTCAGCGGAAGCTGGACCACGACGCCGCGAGCGTTGAAGGACGTGCTCTCGATCGTGACCCACTTGTCCGGCACGGGAGCGGCAGCAACGCCAAGGGGGGCTGCCGCGGCCGCAGGGGCAGCGGCCACCACAGCGCCAGCCACGGCTGGCCCACCGCCAAGGGGAGCAGCCCCAGCCGCCGGCCCAGCAGGCACTAGCGCGCCGGCGGCAGCACCTGCACCTGGACCACGAGCTCCGAGAGCACCAGCCCCGGGGCCGGCAGGCGGCATGAACTCCGCCAGCGGCTGGAGGCACCCCTGCGGGCCCGGCACAAAGGCCGCACCGGCCGCCGCCGCCTCGGCGGCGAGGATGTCCTGGCACACCTGCTCGGCCGCGACGTTGAAGGCCACCATCTCGGCCGCCGTCGGCTCGCGCCGAAAGCGGTGAGTCTGAGCACGGTCCATGCCAGGGGGGACCGCGCGCGTAGCAGCAAATCGGACGCCCTGAATGTCCACGCTGGAGCCGTCGTACAACTCGTCGTAGACGTCGCGCTGGGCCGTCGCGATCAGCAGGCGGAACGGCTCAGTCGGTCGAGTCGCCGATGGCCTCAAGCGCCCCAGCACTCTCCGTTGGTGCCAGAGCGGCGCGCCGGCGTACTGCAACCACGCCCATGGGAGCAGCTGATGAACTGCCATGGTGCTGCTCGGCCCGTTGCCCCGCGCCGCTGCCGCGCGACCGCGCTCGGAACAGGGCGGGCAGGCAGGCTCCTGCGGCCGCCCCGATTAGGCAGCAGCCAAGGAGGGCCGCGCACACGAGCGCCGACCAGAGCGACCCCAGCCCAACAAGCGGCGGGCCCTCGGCCGCCCCAGGCGGCTCCGCCGGGCAGACCGGCGTCGGCGTTCCCGGGCAAGCCGGGATCGGCGGGCACGCTGGGCACGCCGCACACGTGCAGGCCGGGCAGGCCGGCGCCGCAGGGCACCGATTCAGCCACGCGACCGAGATCTGGGATGCGTAGCCAAGGTATGGGGCCAGCGCGCTAAGCATAGGAACACGAGGGGCCTGAATGTTTGCTTGAAGCCAGAACGATTACGGAGCGAGAAGCGGCCTTCACGTGTCACCCTCCAGAGAACAATAGCATGTGAACAAGCATCAATATATATATATATATATATATATATCTATATATATATATATATCTATCTATCTATATATATATATATCTATATATCTATCTATCTATCTATCTATATATCTATCTATCTATCTATCTATCTATCTATCTATCTATCTATCTATCTATCTATCTATCTAAATATTTATATATATATATAGGTTGTGCTTCGTAGGTTCGACTACACTTTGTATGTACCCCCAACACTGAAATTATCCTCGCGAACGAATGCGTAGCGGCCGTCGATCTACGAACATTCTACATGTGCTTCGTAGGTGCGACGAAAAACTCAATTCGGGAATAAAGCAAGTCTGTAGTCGATTCCCAGACTCGAATACTACTGTCCCGCCCGACGCCAGGCAGGCATCGCGCCCTTCCGACAAGCCCCGCACCTCCTCGGCAGTGCAGCCCCAGCTACACGCAAGAGTGACCCCAGGCAAGAGTGACCTTCGCTAGTGCGCGGATGAAGGGGGCGCAAGGTTACCAAATCCAAGCGCGCAAGCAGCCACTGTCGCATCGCGCTCAGCGATCGAGGGGTGGGGCGGTGAGCCCGCACCAAAGTTCACTCTGGCGAAGAGTCACTCTTACGTGTAGTCGACCGCTCCCCGACGCCCCCCCCCTCTAGGGGAACAAAAGATGACATAGGCAGAACAACTCGGAGGTCCGCGCGGATTCCTTGGATCGGCGCTGGGGCCCCCTGGCGGCGCCTCTGGCGCTGCGCATGGCGCGATCCGCGCGTCCAGCGCCGATCCGAGAAATCCGCGCGGACTTCCGAGTTGATAATTCTGCTATCTGACATCGTCTGTTCTCGCAAGGGGGGGGCCTGCCGAGGAGGTGCGGGGCTGGTCGGAAGGGCTCGCTGCCTGGCGTCGGGCGGTGCAAGCAAAACGGCTGATCATAGGATCAAACAACTGATCAGTCAAGAGATCTGAGCCAGCTTCCCGCAAGTTTGTTAAAACAAGCCTGGGCCAATGTCTGTGATCCACGCTGGAGGGACGAACGTGCTCAAGAAACTGGGACAGCTTTCCAGCTAATTGGTCAGAAACACTGGCCAAGCTTTTCGGGAGGAGGTGTCTTGATCAGACGCTCGACCGTATACAAGTAGGAGATCGACTGCAGAGGTGATCTCACCGAGCTCATTTTTGTGTCATTGCTCGCTCCCCGACCCCCTCGCCCCGCCCCCTGCGGCGCGCCGCCGGGGAAGATGCCGCACCTGCTCG